CCCACGGCTTCCTGATAAGAAGGTGGCGCAGATGGTGGCGGAACATACGTATATTGTGGGGGAGTAGCTCCATTTGCCTTACTCATTTTTAATTATTGTATTTCAATTCTGGAAAAATTATAAAAAATAATATAAGCATATACATATATGGATGCAAACTTAGTATGCACATGCTATGAATATTGACCACCAATCATTTCATTTAAAATGAACGTGAGAATCAGAGAAATTAGAAATACATGGATACTTAGTTCTCATTATGTACTTTGGAAAACTTAGTAAATTTATACAATTTATACAAATGTACATTAGGGCTATTAACACTTTATTTTACGTTAGGAAAAACTACCGAACACAGAGATACCGAGCATCATTTATTAAAAAACGCGTCGAGGCATAAATATATTTGTGTACGCATGAATGTTTGTATATACAGTACCATTTGGTAGAAACATTCTTTGATGTAAAAACAATAAATTACTTAGATTTTTCGCGCGATGACTCAGGTACGGAGAAGAAAGATGAGCGAACGTACTTGGACCCGAATGTAGACACATCTAAAAAATATACATACATATATACTTATGTATGCACATATATACAAATGAAATAAATATAAACCAAGAGGGAGTTAAGGTTACATTTATGGACACGTTCATATGTAAACGGTCTCTCAATTAAATTTTCAATGCTATATATTTTTGGCTGATTGCAATCAAAATAATTATGTTTCTCTACATAAATACACCATTTTAACTAGTGACGTCATTTTCAGCTCTGTATCTGCGCATTTTTAGAACACGGATATTATTAAAGTTGTTTATTATGAAACAGATGAACATATTTATTAAATTCGTTGTATTTTATTAAACTACTAACCAAAGATGTAATATTTTTATATGTGAAAGCAACGGGGACAAAAAACTTTACTATAGAAAGCAAAATTATTTGACAACAACAAATCATTCCAGTGATTGACATAGGAAAGTCGATTATGATAATTGGTACCCAATTTTTACAATCGGTTCTTCTCGATAAACATGAGGGCTGTTCAGGGCATGAATCACGTAATGCCTTGGTTATAATGGACGGTGCGAATCGTAACAAATCGGAGCGAGTTCGTAAGGATCTATTTATTTTATACCTTGGTTATAATGCACGGGGCGAATCGTAACAAATCGCAGCGAATTCGTAAGGATCTATTGATTTCAGATGCTTCCGTTTTACGTTACGTTCAAGTGCATTATAATCGTTCGAATTCATTGCTCATACAATAGATAATTAAGTGACAGTTCACTCCGTTCCGTTAGTGCTCATTTACACACGGCGATTTTTGTTGCCGCAACTCGACGTTTGTAGGAGGGAGCGTGACGAGGAAAGGAGGGGCACCGAGTTGCTCGTGCTCGGGCAACACGCTTTGTGCTCTCGTTCGTCTGTGTAAATTGAGTTAGCGGTCACAGCTGACAACAACAATTGCATACACACAAATCGTCGTGTGTAAATGAAATGAGCAACACCTAAAGGGAATGTGAAAAATCGCGTCGACAAAAGTTTCCGTGTATAAACGCAGTCTTACTTCCATTATAATCCAGGCATTAGATTGTTCCGTTTTACGTTATGTTTACGTGCATTATAACCATTTGCATTCATTTCCCATGCAATAGATATTTAAGTTAAAGTTCACTCCGTTCCGTTACTTCCATTATAATACAGTCATAACGCTGACGCCACACAATCAGTTTTGCCTTTCAATTTCTTCACACACTTTAGGAGTGTTCGCTATGCACAAAATTTATACAAGTTGGAACTAATTGTTTCCAAATCGGGAACAAATGCACAATACCACCAAATCCCGAATTAAAAAAAAAAAATATAGGATCGATAGAGACCATTGAGGTGAACATAACGGTATATTTATTTTTTTTGGGAAACAACAACTACAACAATTATTAAAGGTCAAAGTTCAAATTAAGCATTTTCTCAAATTAATATTTCTCGAAAACCTCTTCAAGGAATTGGACAATTTTGATAGAGAATTTAATTCTCTTTTATTTGATATACATATTTATACATATACCTTTTTATAGTTTTCACGAAAATGGAATTAATATGAAAAAAAAGTATACAGGGTTTTTGTGTATAAACTTCTTTAGGCGTAGGCGGCCTTCGGCCGCACTTATGGATTATAACCCTCACAAAGTAGAATTCTCTTTCTGTGTTGTGAAGAAAAGGCGCTGAACACCTTTTGCAGAGAACACCTTTCTGCGTAGGCGGCCTTCGGCCGCGCTTATGGATTATAACCCTCACAAAGTAGAATTCTCTTTCTGTGTTGCGAAGAAAAGGCACTGAAACCCCTTTAATAATTGTTGTAGTTGTTGTTTCCCCCAAAAAAAAAATACGTCGTTACACTCACCTCAATGATCTATCGATCCCCATATGAATTTTTTTAATTTGAGAATTGTACGTATTCTGCATTTATGCCCCAAATCGTGTTTGAATCAACGAGTTCGTTAAATTTAAAAATGAACAATCTTGTTGCGATTTACTAATGAAAGAAGTAGGTAAATATTCGTTTATTCAATTAATTTAATTAATTCCAAACATTTGAAAGGTACATACTCGGAGAACTATGAATTTCTCCAAGAGAAATATTTTTTGGTGTTTATTGGGTTGCTTGCATGATTCAATAATACAAGGTTCGATAAACTGACAGTTGTCTCTCTC